TTTTTTGGCTCTCTCTCTCTTATTGTCTTCCTTACATTCTTTTTTGAAGCGGCCTTGTGCTTCGGGAGTCTTTTTTAGAAATATGCTAAGACAGAATGCAGAAACCCTTCGTCTCTGCAACACCCACCTTGAAAGTCTCCTTTCTAACCCTCCAATCAGACCCAAACAACTTCATCTCGCTTCGAAGTTCATGCATGGCTCTGGACCTGGGGAGACGGACTTACCCACTCCGCACGCGGCAATATTAGCCGGCGATCTCAACGCCTTTGCGCCTGAAGATCTCACCGCGCCAAATGAGTGTGGGCTCCATGATGCATTTCTGGTTCTTGGCGGGAAGGATGGCACGGAGGAGAGCTTCACGTGGGGTCAGCAGATTCCCGACTGGTTGAGGGAGAAGTTTGGATGTTCTCGTATGGATAAGATTTTGTTTTGTGGTGGGTTGGAGGTGGAGAGGTTGGAGAGGATTGGAGCTGGGGAAGTGGTTTGGATCGAGTATCCAAAAGTGAGTGATGGAGAGAGTGATGATGAGGAAGGGGAGGAAATGTGGATTACGGATCACTTGGGGCTATCTGCTGAGTTTAGGATTACGGGTTTCGAGGGAGAGGAGACTGTATGATGACTGGTGTCTCGAAATCTTAATGCGATGCGACGACTATACTGACCCATTAATTTGTTTAATTGATTACTATCTCCTTCCTATTTCTGACGTATCTTTGGTGTTTGTCGTTTTTATCTCTGGCCAACAGTCTGTTGTGATCAGACTACCCTAGACGAATCCGAATAAGATAGCCACCGAGATATAGATAATTTACAGGGCTCCAGACTGAACCCAACGCAAGCTACTATTGTAGGCAATTGCGACATTAAGAAAGGCCCATTGTGCAAAATCAAAATATCAAGTCGTAAGTCGTAGATCTCCATGTCTGTCAAGAGAGCATCCACCCGCTAGAAAGAATAACGGCCGACCCAAGGCCAAGAACTACTCAGGAATCTCAGGCGTCGAGCTCTTTCCATTCGTGACTTCTGGTCCGAATCTGGTGCGCGATAGCGCTTCCCCCGTGGCCGAGAGCGCACTCAACAAATCACCTAGCAGTCGATCCATCTCAGCTGTCACATCACTCTCATCTGCCCCTTCATGCATCACTTCAAGTCGAGGAGGCACAAGATCAGGAAATAGAATAGGCTCCATTTCATCGAGTGCACCTGTAGGTGGAGCGCGTCGAGCTGTAGGTAATGGCTCGGATGATGGAGAGTCATCCCTTCTGGTAAACGGAGGGTTGGGCTCTAGTTCCTTTGTTGGGATGGCAGGCGGGAAAGGCTCGGACTGCAGAGCCGGATCTGATACGTCGGAATTATCTTGCCAAATGGGGTGGCTCTCCTCCTCATCCGGTCCAGGTCCATCTAATACAGATGACTGATCATCATCCCTGTCATCAGCAGAGGCTAGAAGTTCTGGGTAGTCATTCTCCAGCATTTGCCGCTGCTGTGGGATGCCGCCCGGTGGAGTGGAAGGCCGGTCGAGTCGGAACGGGTCATAATCAGTATCCGAGCTTATCGACACACTAGCACGAGAATGAGTAGACGCCGACGTGGACGGCCGAGAATCACCAGGTTCCCCAATACTAGTAGGTCGAATCGGCGCCGCAGGCTCAAGATCTAGAACTGGTGCCCTTAAAGTATCATAGCGACTATTATCGACATCATTCTCGTCGCCATCCTGGTCCTCACCTGCAGCCGCCGTCATGACAGGAAAGGTCCAGTCCATCGTTGCGCGCCTTGCTGTGGGTTCAGGCTCCACGGGTGCCGGTTCCTGCGGGGTGTCCGTTTGGGACTCCTCCTCCTCTGGGGGCTGCATGAAAACCGGGAACTTCCAATCCATTGTTGGGGGTCGCGGGCCACTCTGAGGCTGGTAAGTCAGGTCTTGAGTTTCCCGGTTGCTGACATCACTGCTTGATGAGCGGGAACGACTATCACTAGAATTCCGGACTTGACGACCACTAGATCTGTTCGCCTTGATGGTGTCTGCATCTGCAAGTTGAAAAGGTTGCGCTGATGAAGCTCCAGCTGCATAGTGCGAGGAATCAAATGAGCCAATGTCAATATCGATAAATGTTGAGGTGACAGAAGAGCGATCGGTTTCGGTGCGAAGAGGTAGGTCCGAAACCGGCTGCTTTTCCTCAATTGGGACAAAATCATTCTTTGTCTCGTACGTATAGCTTGGTTTCTCTTCATTGAAAAGTCCCTCCATAGCTTCGGCGCCTCGTCGGACGCGCTCATCGAAGTTCGCTTGGTCGTCCTTGGTCATTGCCCGCTCAGCCGGTTCATCGAATGATTCTCTTGCAGGCTGCATATTAGTGGTGCTAATTTCGTCCTCCATCTCTGCCAAAGATGCAGCTATCTGGTCAAGGTCAATGACGGAGAATCTTCGTTCAAACCCGTCTGTGGTACTAAAATTCCAGTCGCTATCTGAGTCCATAGTTGTGCCTGGCATCTCCGCAGCCGCTGCGCCTCCGGGGTGGAATAAGGAGATCCGTTGTCCTCCCCGCTGCGACCACTGATAATAGATTCGCACTAGCTCACTCAGAGATGATGTGGGATAGGCCTCCTCAGTATCTGCAATGTACGCATGCGATTGTACGTCTGCCATTGTTGGTCGACTAGACGGGTTTGATTCCAACACGTAAGAGACAATATCTTTAAGCCCAACACTGTACTTTGAATTTTCCAACTTGGGAGCAACGCGGCTGAGTTGCCTTCCTATCTGCATTCGCTCTCGCAAATTCGAATTCGGGGGGTTTCCCGTTGCGATTTCGAATAGCGTACAGCCATAAGCCCATACATCGATCTATCCTGGTTAGTATGTCATGCTACATCAGAGACCAGGAGATCTAACCTCACTACCATATTTGTGCGCTTCGCCGCGCATGGAGAACATCTCGGGTGGCATCCAGTGGGGTGTTCCAATCCAGGTCGACCGTTTGTCCAACTGTGATTGTAGCACTCCAGCCACACCGAAGTCGCAGATTTGCAGTCGTCCCTCCTCGTGAATCAGGATATTGGCCGCTTCGTGGGAATATTAGCGTCCGTAGGCTTTGGTATTGTTCATATATTGGCCCTACCTTTTATATCTCGGTGAATGATGCCAGCATCGTGGATAGCACGTAAGCCAGCAGCAAGCTCACGGGCTACAGGGATGAGAAATTTTTCATCTAGTTGATCACCCGTAGCTCTCATCTGGTATTATCAGTATTTGGAGTGATAAGCAAGTTTTGGCCCTCTGGACAGTATATAATCAAACAAAAAGCACGATGGGCTATATGGTAGGCAAGGAAGTGCAGACTTACCAATGTCCTGACGCTTCCACCGGGGCAGTACTCACAGACCAACCACAGCTGCGAGTGAATAGAGATAGCTTCGATTATTTCGTTGATGTTCTTTGCTCCGGAATCTTTAACCTGCTTCATAACCTTCGTCTCATGAATAAAGTCCTTTATAGATTCGTCTCGGAAATCCCGGACACTTTTGTAGTCCAACGAATCAATATCCATAACTTTAATAGCAACGACTTTGCGCGAGGGCAGTTGATGGCCTTTGTACACGCGACCATAAGCACCTTTGCCAATCAGCTCCTCGAATTCGTACGGTGGAGTATCAGTTTTCGCTCTGCGACACATCTCCTGGACCGCGACGCCCTGCTCACGCGCAAGCTTGATAGCTTCTGCTTTGTGCTTCGTAATAGCGGCCATGGCGGACGTCGGGTCCAGGAACTTAGAGCCGCGAGGAGGATCCATGGTGGAGATTGGGGGCTTGGGGAAGACTGTCTTGTTTTCACGCAGTTCGCAATATCTCAAGGGCTCCGGTGTTGGGGGAAGTAACGAGTCCTGGCTTTTGACTGCTTGCTCTTCGGCCAGGCCCCGAGAATTTAGCTTCTGGATCGGAGCTGTTTCGTCAAAAGGCTCGTCGTGTGGGGAGAGTGAGAAATAGTCGGCGGGGTAGGAAGCTTGGTGGTAGGGTGAATACTGCGACGACTGTGAGGTGGGAAATTCACTTTCTCCGGGCCGGGAGTACCACTTCTGCCCAGCGCTGTCTGTCCTTCTCTGTAAAGGGTCGCTAGTTGAGCGCGGTTTCCGCTTCCTGAGGCGCGCTGGAGAAAGTGGGTTTGAGAATTGTCGCGTATGATAGGGTGGCCTTTCACTGTAGGATTGGCAATACCTTTCCCAGAAGTCGCCTTGATCTTTCAAATCGGACTTTTTTCTCCCGTGGCCGAAAAGACTTTTGATAGCCGAAGTGAGACTAAGAGAGCCTATCGACTTACTGGCCTTCCTCGATGCGCTCTTGAATGGTTTTACAATAGGCGAGTGGAGGTGCCTCGAAGAACTAGTGTTGAAAGGGTCACGAGGCGCGTTTGAGCAAATACAACGAGTCCGATCACAATGACAGGCTTCTTTTGGCGCAAGTCTGCTACCAGGTGCACGTAATGTCTTATCTAACGACTGTCCGAGCCTCTCGTTGTGCAGTGCTCTCTGCTTAAGTTCAGATGAGACCCCAAAGCCAAAGCGCGCTGAGCCTTCCGGGTAGGCCCTAGCTCTGCATTGAGGTAAAAGTCAGCGTACGACAGGCCACATGGTCAGAAGAAAGCCAAACCGGCAGACGCATCTTCGGTTCTCCGCGACCTTTGAGCCACCCATCCTTGAAGACTTCCAGGGAATGACGATATCGCGGGGAGGTAAACAAAGACGTGGACGAAGGAATACACGTCTGATCTTCCAGGCTTATCATGTATGGCGGGTGGAAGAAATAGGAAGGAGGGGAAACAACAGGGATGGAAAACAACAACAGAACAGCCACGAGGAGGGGGAAAGGAACGAAGAGTCTGCATACTGACCTGCGCTTCTATCGAAATACAACGTCTTTCTTAGGTGTAGAAAGATTGCTATGAGATGATCTGGAGTTCAATGCCACGCAGCGTTTGCTCTAATACATCAACGACGGAGGATCCCGAACAAGGGAGTCTTGGAACAGCTCTACTTGTTCTATCGGTACTAGCGACACTTCACAATATACCAGCACCTTCCACAATGGATTAGCTCTGGCGATGTTCCTGCTACGCGGGCTGGGAGGCCTGGAGTTGGTAGCAATGGAATCAAGGTGTCGATGCTTTTATTGCAAGATTGGCACTGGAAGCGAAGATAATCCCAGCCGCGCTAAGAGCGGGCGCTAACGTTAGCGTGAAATCAATCAATTGGCCGATCACCGGACTGAAAGGTGGCCGGTTGTCACTGTAATTCACCCTCAGTCACTGTTGGTATACATTGCAGTGAGGTCCAAATCAGGAACAAGGGTAGGCGATTCTGGCCAATCGCTGTTACGCTAGAAGGATTTATTCGACCGATAGCTCACCACAATGAAAGAACGTCTGTACGTGACCAGCCAACAAGAATCGACCCCGGTCTATTGTAGTACCAGGCAGCATTCAATAACTAATATCCCTAGTATTAGCATGCGAACGTGGAATTAGTTGCAGTATCTATATTGACGCAGGCAATAGAACTAAAGCTAGTAAAAGCAAGTGTAAAATCATTGTATTGAAGTAGATAGAGAAAGAGTTCCTCATTATCCACGTTGTGAATCGAACATCTATCTGGCATTGAAACTCATCCCCATGCCGTAAGGATCAAGGGGGGAAACAGCATTTATAGGTACACCACTTACGGGGTATACAATGGAAAATATTGCAGAAAAGTGTTCCCCGAAAACTTTCGAAACTTTCAATAGACTTACCACACAACTGATCATGGGTATATCCAAGTCTAATTACTATAGAATTTCACGATCTGCTATTTAATCAATGTGTGTTTAAATAGAAGGTGTAAGGAGGAAAGGAAGAAGATCAGAATATCGTGAAAATCACACCATAAGCTCTAAATGAACAAAAATGAAACATTATGGCTGAACAAGGTCCTCGATTATCAGAAAATATTGGTTATTGTTGGGTTTCCACTGAAGAAGGACAAGAAACGTCCCATTAAAGTTCCAAACATGTCACGTTACTGTTGATCCACGCGGAATATTATTTTTGCCGTGAAGGCAGTGTTTGCCCAGTGTTTTTGTTCACACCATGGTCCACTGTATCGCTCTCAACAAATATATGTCCACAGACATGTGAACTAATGCTTCCAGCTACAGTCACATTTAATTTGTTGGACAGCTCGTATAAATGTGAACCTGTTTTACGTGTCAATTATTTACATTTTATCTAAGCATTTCCCATTATAAAGTAATTTGCGTGTTCTAAATTGCCAGCTCAGTTGAGACCAAACTGTTGCCTCAAAGTGGTACCAAAGCGGGAAATTGCTTCAGCAATAGCATCGGAGCTAGCGGCAGCAAATGTAGCGCGGAAGAACAAATCTTCCTCGTTCACGCCTTGAGCTTTGAACCAGCTGCCACGAGAGATCAGAACACCGTTGTTAACTGCGGCCTGGAAAACTTCCTCCTCGATTTCTTCACGTGTCTTGCCCGAGGAAAGTCCAGGGTGTTTTCGCCAGTCGACTTTGATCCAATGCTGTTTCTTGTCAGTGCCTTGGTCGTGAGGAATGAAGGATTCAGGAAAGCTCTGAACTTACAAACATCCCTGCTGCAGGGGGGTTCCAATGGGCGAGTTCTCGGGGGAGATACTTCTCGCACGCATGTATCATGGAGTCTCTGCGAGCCGTGTATGACATACGAAGGTTGATCAGCCAGTCTAGGTATCCAGCGTGGCCCCATTGCTCCTCCAACAGCTTGTAAAGCACAAGCTGCGAGATACCGCTTGGGTTCTGAGAACTGGTCTCGCACGTCCTGGTGAAGCGTTCGATGATTTGCTCGGATCCAACAGCCCAGCCAACCCGGGAACCAGGAGCAAGAACCTTAGAGAACGATTCCAGCCGAAGCACACGACCATCCGTGTCAAGGCTCAGGTAGGAAGGGATAAGAGACTTGATGAATTCTTCGTGGTTGGCGGGCGGTGGAACGGGCTCACCATCAGCTCCAGCGTATGGCTGCATCTGCAAGAAGTAATAGGGTTCGTCCTCCACAATATAAACGTCGTGCTTCTGGGCAACCTTGTAGACTGCCTTGCGTCTCTCCGCCTGTTGAGTAGCGCCCGTAGGGTTCTGTCCTGTAGGGATAGTGTAAAGAACAAAGGGCTTGCGAGCACCCCGAACGCTTTCATCCCAGTTGCTCAGGACCTCGTCAAGGGACTCGGGCAAAAGGCCCTCTTCATCCATTTTGATAGCTGCCACCTTCAAGCCCTGAGGGAGGGCAGTTTCCTGTGCGCTAGAGAAGGTATATTCTTCCATCATGATATAATCGCCCCGTTCGCAAAAGAGTCTGAGTGCGACATCCCATCCGAAGGTGCTACCACAGTTCAGACAACATTGCCAGTCCGAATAAGGGGGGTTGTGAATGAGCTGGTTCTATTAGCGTCGTTCTGGTCCTTCAGATCGCCCAGCGTACCTCTGTGTGCTCTGTGACGTATCTCAGCAGTTGGGGAGCACCCGTAGCTTGGCCATAATTAAGAGCAACCTCAAGATCTTCGTCATGTTAATTCCAAGATCGGATGCGAACAATGGCTGGGAGCCGACTAACCATATAGACTCTTGCCTTCCCGAATATCACTCTTGCCGGCGTGTGCAACCGTTCCAGACTCGCGAGTAGCTTCAGGCGTAAATCCTGGTGGAGTAGGAACCTTGATATCGAGCTCCTCAAAAGGAAAGTATTCAGGAGAGGGCAGTCCACCACCCAGAGAAATGAGGCCTAAAGAAACAAACTTCAGAGACGAGTATGGCCTGTAAGAGCAATGGAGTTACCTGGGTTCTTCAAGTATTTCGCGGCACCTTTCAATGTAGATACCTAGCACATAAAGCCCATTAGTCTTTCACTCCAACTTGCTTGAGCAATACCACCACACAAACCTTCCGGGATTTAGCTTCGGTGGAGAGAATGTCTAGAGTCGATTAGTCGCTGTGTTGTGGTCGAGAATAGTATCGATTCAGAAGCAGAAGGTTATAGTCGAGAGACTTACGATCCCAGCGTTTGGCCTTGGGCTTCGTATAACATGCCTATTGCAATATGGTATTCCAATTAGCACATAACCATAAAGCAAGCCTGACCAATTCTAGCACATAGGATCTTACCGGGCTCTTGAACATATCACTACTCGTCGCAGGTGCAACACCCTTGGGAATTGGGGCACTGTTGGCCCTCAGGGCAGGAATACCCTCCACGGTCAGAGGGGCTGCGGGGGAGCCAGTCGCATTATCCAAAGCGGCGGGGGGGCTCATTTTCTCTATTGTTTGCGATTGAGTGGATTCAGTATGATAAAAGCTACTTCTAATAAGCTGACTGCCGTACAAAATCACTTTTGTAGAAGTCTGAATCGAACAACAATCTGAATCTCCCACTGGAAAGACAACAATTGTAGGGAAAAGCGGGAGTACAAGTAGGTATGAATCAGAGAAAGAAAGATAAAGGTCACACACCGATAAGCGCCTTTTTTCGTCTCCGCTTGGAACGCCGAGCGGACCGGTTTCCGCTCACGCTGGTTTACTGACGCCATTGAGGGATAGCGATAACGCCAAAATCCTTTTGAATTGTCCAGCCCTAATTTTAGCTATATCATTTCCGCATTATTGCCCTTTGTTGGGTTTCTGTTATCTAATCGATGAAGAGATCCAAGCATCTGAATGGCTCCGGCAAATGCTTAACGCGCCTTGGATCATCTGCAGGGCGCGGGGATGGACAGATAAGTATG